TACTTTTCTCATATCAAACAAGCTAATATTTCAGTACAATGTAACTATACAGAGTATGTACAATACACATATGTTCACAAAGCAAACACTAGGCTCAGAACAGATTTGAGAAAACATGATATTCACATTGATTACAATAACTCTAAAAATGATTGTAACGTTGAAACGGCACTTAGTTTACAAAAAAGTCACAAAAAAATATATATATATATGTAGTCACCAAGAACCATGGTTTCTGTAAAATACTAATAGCCAGATACTAGTATATAAAACGTGAAGTTATGACACTGTATACATTTTTTTAGGAAATCAAACAGAACAAAATTTAAGACCATTTTTGTTATTGTAGAAAGTCAAACATGCCAAGTAATTTAGCTATGGCCACTGTCACCAAGTAAAGCTATACTTTGAACGTGATGACAACAACTGGACAAAGCTGGTGAACTGGGGACTGGCACAGCTGGAGAGAGTAGTACTGTTCTAGGAGAGGGGTAGAGGATATGGAAACACCCATTCATGTAACTGAATTCACAGTTTCTCCTCAGCAGTGCCCTCTTTGGCCTGTTTCACAGATGCCAGTTCCCCAAGAGTCATAGTACTCTAGCTGGCAGGGCAGGAAGCTTTCCTGAGCTCCGTGCTACCAGCTACAGGCAAGTATTAAAGCATGCATCAGCTACACGGGACACTCGGCCACTGTCTGGCAGACTGTGGTGCAGTCTCTTTCTACGCTGCTTGTATCAGAAAGAACCCCAGTTTTTAAATGAGGCCAGATTTATATATTAGCCCTATAAAATAGTGAGCTACTGTAGCAGCAAATAGGAAATCACAGAAGCAAAACCACAACTTTATTTTTAAAAGTTAATTTGTTACATCAAAGTAACTGTTTTCACCTTTAAATTTGTCTCCCCTCCCCAGACATCTTTTTCCGTATCACTGAATTCTTTGACCTATTACCTCATTCTGACTTTCTTATCACGGCTCTGAAAAAAGATACTTCCTAAGCCTGGAAAAGCTTTAGTTTACTCTTAAAAATGGGAATACAGGAATTTCAAAGTTAAAAAAAAAAGTCTGTTCTAAAAGTATCTTTCACAAATATATATATTTAAATATTAAAATACCTAAGATTTTTATAAAATGGCTTTTGAAAAGATAGTAGAGGCACAAAGAGGCCACATACCACCCTTCAAGTTGAACGTAAGGTGCCACAAGGGTGCCTTAACAAGGAGGCAGGCAATATCTAGCTGATGCAACAGGAGACACCAGTATCAATGAACTAAATATCATTGGAACTTGGGTCAAAACCAAATTTTACCCTATCAGAGACTGTTGTTTCTTTAAAGTATACCTTCAAATATAAGCATTAGAATCCATCATTTTGTATAAGCAAAACAACAAAGTTTATGATCATAGTTGTAAATACCCGATGCCATTCACTCTGGGAGCAGAAAAGCAGTGCAACTTTCAAAAGTGCAATGCACTCTCAGTGTGAGAGACTTTCCGTAACAGCTGTCCACTTGAAAACTGCTACCTAAAATGACAAGCCCGAAGGAAGCATACTCACACACTCAGCACAGAAAAGGCTCTCTCTGGAAAGGAGAACTGCAGAAGAAACTTCCCCATCTTGAAGATAACACTAACACCTCTCCTGGCACAGAGAGACTGACTCTTCAGCAGGTGATGCACTTTGGTAACCAACATTCATTCACAGGATGATTTTTCAAGCTCTAGGTATGGTCAGGCTGGCATTTGAGAAAACAAGGAATTTAGTAGAAGTCATGACACTATAGCTCCTCAAATGACTATCAGTGATTGTACCAAGAAATCATCACAACTGAGCCCAGGGCTTTAGGCTTAGCAAAGCTTGTTAACTTAAAAAAAAAAAAAAAAGAAATAAGAATTTGATATTTTATAAACTAGGCACTTCAAACTAAAAATCTTAATTTTTAATTAATAAAAACACATAGTGTTTTCAATCATGGTCTGAACTCCTGAGTCCTTTGTAAACTATTCTGCGCACAGGAAGCCTGGTCTTTGCTGCAAGTGTCCTGGGTCTCACTCAGGGAGCACTGAAAACTCAAGTCTCAGAAGCAGGCTGAGGCAGCATCACTGCTTAGAGACTGCCAAAGTCAAGGTTCTAAAAGCACTGTCTGCAATTTCCACAGTGACTATTTCCAAAAACAGAGAACTATCTTTTTCTGTTCTAAACAGAATTATGATACGGGGAAACATCTAAGAAGACTTTAGTATATAAATTAATAAAAGTGTAAATCCTGATGGTAGCTGGTACCATTCCTATTCAACACTATTCAATGTTTCTAGGAGGCAACAAAAGTCTTAATTTATGTGTAATCCAGAGTGAAACATCTATAGCCTACTTCCCAGCATGGACTGGCTCAATTCCACTTCCTTGTTTATTTGAACCGTTGCTACTTTGGCAAATTCACTTTGCTGAGAAATTTTCAAATAAAAATAATCCATGTTACCACATTCTGTCAAAAATGACAGAGATAAATACTAGTATAAGCAAAATAACAGATCTTAATTTTGATGAGCACACTTAAAAACCATGTTTAGTTATAAATATTCCCCATAGCTGTGTTTATGACAATAACATCTCTCTACTCCCCCAATTTTATTTCACTGACTTCTGGTTTCTATATGTTCTTTTAGTACCTATCAAAAATACAAAAAGGCAACTGATGTCAACAACGTACAGTGAAACCCATTTTCCTCCCCTACTTTTGGGCTGTTTGTTCTTTGTGCACTTTCCTAGTTCCTTTACCCCTAGTTAAGAACTCAAAAATTATTTCTTCACACAGATGTACACTTGAGGGTTTTAAGGCCCTTTCCGCAGATAAGTGATGCAGTACAATGAAGTTTCCAATTTGCCTGATCATTAGTTCCACAAATGAAAATATCTTCAGTTAAAAGCTTAGGACAGTTCATGTGCCATCATAAAAGTAATTCTGACGCTGGGAGAGAACTGCCGTCTGGTTATGTCCCTTAATAGGAAGCTCGCTCCAAAGTGGCTTCTAATTAGACTAAGAGAGTAAATAAGTGTTTCTATGTTAAAGGAGCAAAGGACTTACAGCTTCCAAAGGAAAAGGGATCCGTTTCTAGAACAGGAGAGCCTTGCTCAGCAGTGAAGACAGGAACAGGGTTACCAATTGCTCAGCACATGAGAGGCAGACTATTTTACTCCATTTAGTAAAACATTTTAACAAAACATAAGTGTTTTTGCTTATTTGTTTTTAATAACAAAGGGAATGTATCTTAACATGGCACTTATGTAATGGGACTTAAAATGTTTAAACATAAGACTGAAATGAGGCCACTTAAATATTTTACTACATTCTGTCTTAACAAAATTGCGAACTTAAAAAAACCAACTCCCCCCGCCCAAATAAAACCTAATAATATAATGAACTGTGGTTAAACTTAAAATAAAAATTGGAATTATTTAGAATGGCCAATTAAGAGAAATTCATTTAAACATATTTGTTGATAACAACATTTATCTACACCCATTTCTTGGAAAATATAAAAGTCACTGTCAAATTTCTGTTTCTGACTAAGTGAATCACTGACATGATGCTTTGAAGACTAGAGTTTGGAAATGCAAAGAGTGACAGGAGGAGCTACAACTCCTTACACCACAGTGAAAACTTCACTTCTAAAGCACATTCTATCTATTTGGCAGTTGGGAAAAAACTGAAAACAAAGCTTTTCTTGTATAAAATGCTTAGGTTTTTAAAAGTAATTTATCCTGCATTCTAAAATTTAAGCCCTTTAAATATCACAAAGTTATCCTCTTAGGCCTTACAAAAAGATAGCTACCTTTAAGTATTCTAAACACGAATGCTTTTCTGTTTAGTTACCCTGGTGATTTCTATGAAGGGATCATCTCTTCAAAATGTTTTCCATATGTTCTGGTGAAAAGTATACATACATACATACATACATACATATATATATATGTATATATATATATATATATGTATTCCTCTTTTAAATCAACTTTAAATAAACCTTAGATATTACTTTATGTACAATTATGTCTTGCAGTTGTATTTCCTATTACAGACCCATACACAAAATGTCCTCAAAAATGTAGTCTCACTGGAACAGGAAAAGGCTTTTGTATCATTTTATATCAAACATTGGTCAGGCGCCTTTATCAAAATGATTTTGAGTAATAGGCGACTAACCATATGTGTTTTCATGGTATTTTTGAATCTTTCCTAAAGGCTGGCTACAGGATTTGTCATTAGCAATAAAAATCCAGTGAGGAGTATCCTCACAAAGAGGCTGACCTAACTCAGAAGTTTTATATAGGGTATACTGAAACACTTTTCAAAGAATCTGAAAAGAATTCTTCAATTTAGTTCATCTCTGATTTATTTTTATTTATTTCATTTTCTTTTTTCCTTTTCTAGCTCTTAACAAAATAGAAGCAAAACAAAACAACCCAACTTGGAACCAAGAACATAATTCTTGAATATAATTTAACTTAATCTTTATCATACTAAAACAAGATTCTAATGAATTTTAGGATTTATTAGTAGGCACACTTTTCAAAGATCATATATGACATAAAAATAAAAATTATTGACTTCTTTCGTTGATTTTTTCTGAAAGTCATACACTTATCAGTCAAGTGAAAAACTGGAAATAAGGGCTGGGTTGTATTTCACTGATAGAGCATGTGCTCAAGACGTATAAGGTCCCAGGTTCAATTCTCAGTGTTAAGAAGAAAAAAAGAACAGAGATGGAAATTAAATTACAGAACTAATAAATTTTAAAGAAACAAATTATATAATGTGAAAAAATAAGTCTGGTATTGGAATAAAATTTAGATCATGTGTTTGATCTAGGTGTGGTGTATGTGTCTATAATATATAATGTTAGCAAGGGTTGTGGGGGAACTGAGGCTAGAGGATCAAGAGTTCTGGGCCAACCTAGGCTACTTATGATCCTGTTACAAAACAAAATATCCAAAGTCAAACAAAAAACATAGATTGTTTTTATTTTCTAACCCCATCAGGGGCTATCATAATGATGAACCTTGGGGCAATTTTCTATAAAGAAAAATTACTCAAAAGTTCATTACTCATGGACTCATGAATATTTCAAATCAAAGAGGCTTTAATAGTACCAGATAAAAAAGTATACCCCAATCTATAAATTTTATCGAGTAGCAAAGTTTTTAGATTTTAACAATCCCTCCCCCAATTTCTGAGTCAGAGATGATCATTTTACAACCTCTTCTTTTACATTATTGCTTATATCCCATGAAAACTATAATAACCCACTTTTAACAAACGTGGCAATACCTCAAAGTATTTTGGAATAAGGACAATGTACTGTTGTCATATGTGATCTTGTAAACAATCTTAATTGGGTTAAGAATGTAGCCTCAAAACAGAATTCTTTTATTTTGTCCAAAACAGCACAGCATAAACATCCCAACAATACATAAACCTATATATAAAATATAGAATATCTTCAATATTTTTCTTTTCTATGGCAGCACAATAGTATATGCAAATGAAAGTACTGTTGATGGGACGAGAGGAAACTTATCTGGGCAACGTCCTCGTTATCCAAGTATCAGCATTCAAAGACCGGGTAGACATTCATTCTAGTAAGAAAACCAGTAAGAAGAAAATTCCTACAAAAGCTGGGGTATACAGACCTCATTTTGCACCCTGGCCATTCCATGCACAGCCTGATTCTCTCAATCACACCTCTTAGCCTTTGGAGTGACACTATAAAGGTACAGGAAATGCCTGCCGGATACTAATTTTTCACCATGAAAATTCAAAATGGCTTAAAAAAAAAAAAAAAGAATATGCTGGATTTCATAAGTTATTTACCTTCATTTGAAAAAAATTATTGTTAAATACTTCAAAAATTACAGGAATGTTTACTTCTGCATCTAGGAGTAAACATTTACTTAGAAATTGTCAAATTCTGTTTAGTAACTTCTCATGAGCCCTCTCATCTCAGGAAGGGCAACAACCACCTGATTTCTTCTGTATCTGCTGCTGCCCACTTTTAACAATGGGAGGAAGAACTGCCATGTTTTAAATCAGCTGCTTTTCCTTAAGTCTCAGAGTTCATGTTCTGTTTCAATGTTACCTTACTGTACACACGAAAAAGCAATCTCTCATCTATGAAAAACAAAACAAAAAATAAAGCAACCCTCCAGTTTCTGGGCTTACAAATGGAACCCTTCTTTGTTTAAAAATTTAAATTTAAACGTAGAAAACAAAGCACAGGCACTTTCCAAAAACCCAACCAAGGCCAAATCACAGAATTACTCAATCATTATAGAAGACAGCTCTGACTTAGGGGGGTCATCTCTGGTAGCCTCAGCATGAGCACTGGTCTTTGGCTGCTCTTGCACTTCCTCCTCCTTTTCTGCAAGCCCACCAAGAGACCCCAAGGGGAAAGTGCTTTCACAATTCTGGGTTGAGGAGACCTGTGAAATCACAGGCATCTGAACGGAAGAGTTGCTTTCAAAACTGTGTTCTCCAAGATCATACTGAACAAGGGTCTCTTCTTGCTCCTGGTTTAAGTAGTCCGGTACTAAGAAATCACTAAATGAGAGGCAAAGGATAAAATACACAATTAGTTTTTAAACTATAAATAAAAAGATGTCATCTGTAAAACAAGACTGGGACTTTTCATTTCACTAATTATTCAATGAAGCTGTTACTAAATAAGCTTCCCTAATATCAACTGAGGCCATTCAGTAGAACTAAGGTGCATCACGTCTCCCTATGGGCAATCAAAAAGATTAATGATCACTTCCAGTGAGACTCTGGACACTTCAAAGGCTTTTCTGGATCTATATATAGGAGTCCGAATATAACGTTAAATGTCATTGCACTCAAACAAAGATCATGTGAACAAGGTAAATGCTTAACTTTTCTTGGAACACCCTGAGTAAGAGGTTCATAGAAACCTATCTCTGTTTTGCTACCTGCCTAGAAGTTAGCTAAAAAGCTAAGTCCTTAGGATACATGACTTTACATACATTCTACTATGTGAAGTTGAAAGGCATAGAAAATAACGTTCATTTCACTACAAGATTTAGAATATGGAAACACTAATAAATTTTAATAAATATTTAAAATCATTTATGAAATAAATCAGTTTATTTAAACTTTGATTATTATTATACTGGGCCTGTCAATACATCTGAGGTGACCACTTAATAATTTGAGTATTCACTGTTAGTAGGTAAGTTTAAATCTGTTTGTCTGCAAAGTAATTTCTAATGTCTTGTGCTATTTTCCTAAAAAGTCTTCCTGGGTTAGACAAGAGTTGTTTAAGATACAGGGCCATATACAGAAAAAGACACACATAAGAGTGGTGAAACTGGACTATTTTATTCCTCAACAACTAGGTTTAGTAAGTGTATAATCCAGCTTTAGTGACATAACCACACATTCAGAATCAAAGTGATTAAATAAAACGAATGGCTGCCCTGGAGGGAAAAAAAAAATTAATAATATGGGACTGAAAAGATTTTGTAAAAAATGTAGGTTAGTTAAAAACTGTAAGGGTTTAGACAGATTTTACTTTTTAAGAAACTAAGGATTCCTACAAAGGTAGAATTCTTATGAAGTACTAAAAAGCACATATAATAAGAGTTTTATGGCTACAGGATGACTGACATACCATCTTGTTAAAGCTTTATCTTCAGATAAATTTCATATGATACCTGACATGCTCAATCAACAGCAGAGTTAGAAATAGAATTGAATTTACTTGCATAATCTATAAGTCAGAAATATATTACTATAATAAATTATTAATGTGAAAAGCCAGGGCACTAAACTAAGAAAATAGAGGAGACTTACTGGATCTAATAACATCCATGTTAACAGCTGTCAAATATTTTTATTGATAAATGGATATTCCTTTATATTAGAGTTTGTTTATTTATTTATTTGGTTTTTCAAGACAGGGTTTCTCTGTATATGTAGCCCTGGCTACCCTGTAGATCAGACTGTCCTTAAACGCAGAGATCCACCTGCCTCTGCCTCCTGAGTGCTAGGATTATAGGCGTGCACCACAATGCCTGAATATATGAATATAGATGATTTTAAAAAGGAGGGGTGGTACTGAAGAACTTTGCTAACATCTAGTATATCTGCTAGTAAGATCTAGTTAAATCTGATATAGAAATTTATTTAACTCCATAAAAAAAAAAAAAAAAAACCCAAGAGGACAAATAGTCTTCTGTGGGGGATATTTTTTACTACTTATTTTATAGGAATTTATTTTAAATACCAATACAATAGTATGACTTCAAAACTTAGGAGACCTACCAAAATTCCGTCAGATCAGGAGATCAGAGTGTGCCGAGTGGTAATTTAAAAAGAACGTGACTAATTAGCTGGCAACCTGATAATAACACAGCAGGCTGCCCTGAAAGCAGGAAGAGTTTAGAATGCAGTTTTTCCTGGTTGGGTTTTCGCTGTGCACCTCACCTGCTCTGGAAGTAGTTTGCTAGCTCTGATGCTTCATGGTTCAGACTCCTCAGGTGCACGATTAAATTTCCAGAGTTGGTGAACATGGCGCCACATGTTTTGCACTCGTAAATCCGAGGCTTGCGGATAATGTGCCGGGAAACCCTCATATGGTGTTTATATTCCCCGAAGGAAGTGAAAGTGGCACTACATATCTGGCACCGGAAACAGCGTTTACCTTCATGCTTTAGGCGATGCATCTTTAGCGAGTAAGCCCTGGTGAACTTTTTTCCACAGCGGTCACACTGAAATGGTTTAATTCCTATAAAACAAAACAACAAAATACCATCTGAAAAATAAACTGAAACGTCATAAAATTACTTATTTCTGAATAAAAACAATTTTAAAATTAAAAACTGCCAATAAAATAGATTCAACGTAATTCAGAGGTAGTCCCGAGTCACTAGTGCTTAAAAAAGGGAAACCCAGAAAGAAGGTAACTAGGTGGTATGTACTGAATTGTTTTCTGAGTTCTTCTAAGTTACGTATTTTACAGATTTCAAAAATTATTTATCTTAGTAGCTTTAACAAGAGCATAGAGTCACATCAGAATGGATTCTCAATTGAAGAACTGCTAGAGATCAGACTAGTCTGCACCTGTGTGGGGTACCATCTGGATTGCTGACTGATGTAGGAAAGCCCAACCCACCTGCTCTGAAACACTCTCCAGAGCAGGTGGCTTTGGGCTATGTAAGAGTAGCTAAGTATGAGCCCGTGATTGGGCTAACAAGTGCCTTCTGCCACGGTTTTTGTGTCAGTTCCTGTACTGATTTCCCTAAATGATTGACCTGTAAGATGAAATAAAACCTTTCTCACCCCAAGGTGTATTTTATCACACCAATGTAGAGGAAATGAGAATATTATTTTGTTTGTAGTGCTGTGATGCACTCTAGGGTCTTATGCACACTAGGCAAGTGTCCTACTACTGAAGCCAAATCTCTAGCCGCAAAACACACTTAAATCACACCATTTATGTGCCCCAAGTCCCCAAAACAATACATATTTCATTAGAGAGATCAATGCTTACTCTCAAAGTGTAAACATCACCTCTCTGTTACAGTTAGTGTTGTCAATTCAACACAATGTACAATCAATCACACACACAGGAGATGGGTCTCTTGGGCATGTCTTTGAGGGTTATCTTTATTTAAATTAACTGATGTGGGAAGATCTAGCTTAACTGCCAGTGGAATCTTCCCTGGGCGGGGAATCCTAGAGTATATACACAAAGAGGGCAAGATGAACACACTCAGGTACGCCATTATTCACTGCTCTCTGCTTCTGACTGTATCAGTATGACCAGTTCTCTCAGCTCCTGCTGCTATGATGTCCTGGCCATGATGGACTTACTGTAACCTGGAACTGTGAGCCAGATAAACCCTTTCTCCTTTAAATTGCTTTTCTCAGGGTATTTATCATAGCAACAGGAAAACTAATATACTATTTTAAATAGAAATAAGAAAAATGAAAAAATTCTAACATCTCTGTATTTAATAACAGGATCATTATATGGTGAATTAGCTTAATTATTTAATAGTAGACATTAATAAGGGAATTATAAAGTATATTAACAGTTTCACAGTTACTATTGCAATTTGGGGGGAGGGGAGGTTAAAGCTCTGCAAAACACAACCTGTGGATTTCATACGATCACAGAGAAGTGATCATGTTAAAAAGTATTAGTACAAAGATGGTAAGACCCATTCTAGAAGGAAAAATGAGACAGAGCTGAAAGCAACAGTAAAGGTCTCCCATCCTTCAGAGGTCAGAGTTTTACTGTTTACCTTTTTTTCATCACACAGCTTCACTGCTAAGTGCTCTTTAATTTGGCAAAAATTTTAAAAACTTTTTTTTGTTGTTTTGTTTTCTAAGACAGGTTTCTCTGTGTAACAAGAGCCCTAGCTATCATGGACTCACTTTGTAGATCAGGCTGGCCTCAAATTAACTGAGATCTGCCTGCCTCTGCCTCCCGAGTGCTGGGATTAAAGTTCGAATGCCACCATGCAAAAAATTTAAATTTACAGAGAAATCCAAAGAATCACCTATGTATAATTTTTAACACTATTTGCATCTGTGCTTTTCTCATTTATAAACATGTACTTAATTATATCCAGTATCTGTTAACTTACATATTTACACACTGCCTCTAAATTTTAATCAGAATATCCAATAACTGTGGTAAATGTACTAGTTTTCTGACATTTCAAAAAGAGAACACAGCTAGCCAGTCTGGTCCAATGTGACTTATCAGGACTTTAAACCTTTTTTCTGTTCTCTAATGCAACTCCCTCACCTCACCCAGCCTCCATTTCCTTTACCACTCCCTGTGCCCCCAACCCCTCTTGCTCAGATGGAGTCTTTCTTTCTATTATACAGTCCAGGCTGGCTTGAATTCTAGATCTTTCTGCCTCAGTCTCTTGAATGGTGGGATTACAGCATGTGCCACTACTGCTGAAACAAAGTCTTTACTTTCTTTTTTAATTGGGATGGCAAAGTAAAATGTTTTGGCAGGGCCCCTTATGCAACAACATCGAAGATCATATTACCTGAGTGGATAAGCATGTGCTGTTTTAAGTTCTGAATACGGGTGAATCGAACCCCACAGGTAGGACACTGAAAAGGTCTGTCTGGACCATTTGGACTTGGTCGTTCTGTACTGCTGGTAGAAGGAGCAATGTAGAGTTGGTAGGGATACTGAACATTTTCCAATCTAAAAAAATAAACCAAAAAAGGCACGCAGGCTCTGATGTTTACGTTGAATACACATTTCTGCAGCCCAACTCTTAAATGAACAAAGGAAATAACAAAGACTTTTAAAAACAGATTCTTATTTAGAAATATTTGTAAAGCAATGTGACTGCCCAGAATGTCTAGCATCTTTAAATATGGATAAAACCCACAAGGCATATAAACTATTTTACCTTAGATACCCTTCAATCTCTTGAATTCCTTCCTTTCTGCTTCTGAATTTAGGCCCTGATCATTTCCTTCTTTAAAATCTTGCTACAACTATCTTCTTCAGAATAAATTCTCAACCTCCACAAAAAGTGCCCAAAACTACTCATATATGAACTCTCTCTTTCCAGCCTAATTTCTGGTCATACTCCCTACTCCCCAAAATATACTTTATACTAAGTAATTCCTCTAGTGTATCATATGCTTTGTTTTCTCACAGTGAACTTCCTCTACAAGCCTAACTTCGTTGCTCAGGTAGTGTCCACTCACTTTATAAAATATAGTTGAGTCCTCACCTCCTCTTCCTGAAAACCTTCATTGATTTATTGCTTAATTAGTTAACTTCCTACAGGCAGCAGCAAACTCCCTGCAGATTCCTTCTGGTGATCTGTTTTCCTAGCTGACTTCAGCCTTGTTCCTTCCCTGAAAACTCATGGAGCTCTCAATAGAAAAGGCTATTTATTTCATTTTTATAATCCCATGACTTAGCAAAGTATTTAATAAACAATAGATTACTTGATTACTCTTTAAAATTAAGAAATAAGAACAGTTGTGCTTACTTATACTTTTACTACTTCATTCAAATGATTTTGGTTCATAATCTTCCAGGTTTAGCTACTCAAGATTAGTACATCTATGTTTGAAGCAAGTTTTCAGCAAATACAGCTATTAAGAAAAAAAAAAAAAAAGACTGTTCTGCATTCTATGTGAGGAATAATTCATTCAGTGGAATCTATGTTTAGTGGTGTGAGACAAACAATAAATAATCAAGAAATAGACCAGAGGGAGAATTAAATTAGGAAGATCCAACAGTGGCTGGGTGCTGCTTTAAGCTGGTTGTTGGGGAAGGCCTCAAGTCAATGATCTGAAGGTCAGAGTCAAAGAGAGGGTTGGAGAGATGGCTCAGTTGTTAAGAGCACTGGCTGCTCCCCCAGGACCTGGGTTTGAGTCCCAACACCTACATGGTGTCTCATAAACACCTAAAATACCACCTTCTAGCTTCTGCAGGTGTCAGTCAGAGATGTGGTACACAGTACACAAACATATGTAGGCAAAACACCTATATACATAAAGTTACAGAAAAAATTAAGAGTCAAAAGAGTGGAAACCAGGGGAGAAAACATTTAAAGCAAAGGTTATGAAATAGCAGAAAGGCCCAAAGGTAGGAATAAATATAGAGGGTTTTAGGAACTGATGGAAATTAGGTAAACTTATATTATGTATAACTTTAAACAGTAAGGAATTTAGATTTTGCTTGTTTTTTGAGACAGGGTTTCTCTGTGTAACCCTGGCTGTCCTGGAACTAGCTCTGTAGAGCAGGCTGTCCTCAAACTGAGAAAGCCGCCTTGCTTCTGCCTCCCAAGTGCTGGGATAAAAGGTGTGCCACCACTGCCTGACAGAAATTGCAATTTTAAGTAAAAACCATGACATCTTAGTTAAAAATGAAATGATCTGGCAGTACATGGAGAATAGACTTAAGAAGTGAGAATGAAACTGGGGCCCAATTTCAAGACTACTAGAGTAGTCAAGAGAAAGAGAGCAGTGACTTAAACCAGCGTAGCTGTAGTACAGAGGAAAAGTGAACTAGGGATTCTGAAAATAGAGTTGAAAGAAATTAAAGATGAAATACAGGGAGACCAAGTAAGTGATGAAGGAAAAGGATAATGTACAGTTCTCAGGGGCTGAATGAAGACAGTTCCTTAGAACACACAGATGATATCTTCAACAAGAGTTGGAAAACTGTAGCAAGCATGAGAGCAATCATTCCAGCAAGGTAAGGGGACTAGGCAGCTTCAGAAATATGCAAAATTATATTAAAGTTTCAATAAATTTCTTACACAAGTTTAAACTTAGAGCTATAAGCACAAACTTCATGAGAAAAGAACATACTATATTGGTACTAACCTGTCGTCATCATCTGCATGAGCATTGGTACTAGAAGTGCTCTGAAGTGTAGGCAACCCCTCTGCGACTCCTTCATCTACTGAGCCTGTAAAAGGATTTTTTGAAGTGATAGCTGTTAATATCTAGTGCAAATTAGCCAAGATGTTACCTAAAAGCCAACTATCCAACCCTCTAACTTATCTAGTGCTCACATCTTATTAAAAAGTAGTAATGTTTTATATACATATATGCATGTACATATCTATACACACACACATACGCACACACTTGGTTTTTCCAGACATGGTTTCTCTTTGTAACCTTGGCTGTCCTCAAACCTTTTTTAAAAGATTTACTTATTTATCATGTATACAGTGTTCTGCCTGTATGTATACCTGCAGGTCAGAAGAGGGCACCAGATCTCAATATAGATAGTTGTGAGCCACCACGTGGTTGCTGGGAATTGAACTCAGGTCCTCTGGAAGAGCAAGCAGTGCTCTTAACCACTGAGCCATCTCTACACGTCCATCCTCAAACTCTTAAGAGGCCTGCCTCCCTCTGCCGAGATTAAAAGTGTGTGCAACCACCACCTGGCTATATTTTATTTTTGATCACATAGGGCCAGCAAGATGATTTAATAAATGTAGCTTTGATATTTAAATCCTTTCATGTTTATTTCTTTCACAGCAACCTTGGGAAAATAAGCAGAACAATTTATATACAAACTGAAATCCAGTGCTGATACTTATTTAAGCAAGGATTGATAATCTGTATTTTTTTAAGAGTTACTTTAGTTACAGCTTTACAGAAAATTTAAAGGACAAGGGTCCAGACTCAGAGATGGTTCAGCTGTTAAGAGCACTGGCTGTTCTTCAAGACCTGGGTTCAATTCCCAGAACTCACATGGTGGCTCACAACTGTCTCTAACTTCAGTTTAGACATATATAGTTGAATTATGTATACATATTCATATATTGTATGTATTCTTGGGGCTTGCGTCATCATATACTATAGTCATATTTATGTTGTTATAGGTAGTTAATTTTCATTGTTACACAATATTAATAACTTACATTCTCAAGAGGGCAGTATGGGGGTTTCTATGAACTATGATGCTGTGAATGCTCTTGTGGAAGTATCTTAATCCACATGTGCATCAAAATTCCCTGTTTTAATGGACTGGAAATGATATACTTCCTGACTGTTTTTACTGTTGGTTACCTTAGCCCATATATACTGGGTGGGGGATATAGCTCAATGGTAAATCAAATAGCTGGTATGCACACAGCCCTGGGCTCCGTCTCTCGAAACTTCTCCCAGACCCTGGGGCAGGATATAAGTTAACAAACCCTAACCAAAACCATCACTACTTTCCACATAATACAAGGATGGTATAATACAAGCCTTCCTACCTACTTTGATTCATAACAATTATCTGGGTTTTGTTTGATCAGGCCTACAGATATTACTGCTCTGTTGTATAAATAATGCTTACTTGTATGTATTCATGCATTTGCCTGTTTGCTCTAAATATGAGAACTTCTATTTGTACTTAGTTTTGCATGAAGACCATCCTTTCCTAGTGATGATTTAATGAAATTAAAGAACTGCCCATCTAAAAACATCTTCACTTTGTTGAGGCAGGGTCTAATGGTGCAAATACTGGCACAGATCTACAAACCAAGCACTCAGAAGGTGAGGGCAGGAGCATCACAACCTTATCTTTTTAAGATGCTTGAACCTCCTATATCCTAAGCTGCCCTTAAACTTATCTTTCTGCCTTTACATTCTGAGTACTGGATTACAGAGTAGGCAACCATGCCTGGTTTTATGCAATAACCGGTAATTAAACCCGGGACTTCCTGTATGCTAGGCAAGCACTTTACCAATTGAGCTATATTCCCATCCTTCATTTTCACTACTGAGGTCACAGTATGTAGCAATCTAGACTGGCAGTTGCCTTTTCATGGGACAATACCTCATGGGGTTCTGATGTTTCATTGTTTTTTATTTTTTTTCTGTGTCTAGACTTTTTTTTAATTCCTGTTTGATATTGAAAAATCACCAATATTCTCTCTTATATTCTCTAATATAGTCTTTATTTTCTCTTTCTGTCTCTTCTCATCAAAACATTAAAATGATGTTTTTAGTCTCAATTCTCTTTTGCTAAATACAATCTGCTGTCAAAATATTCACTGAGATTTTGTTCTTAGCTAGGATTTCTTTCAAATCTGCTGTTACTTTGTGTATAATTTACTGTTGTTCAAACCTGTTAAATTATGCTGAATAAGCATACTTGTTAGAAATTGGCTTTCCAGTTATTTCTACTACCAGGTTTCAGTCATCTTTTTCTTGTAGGTGCTTCTTTGTTGCCTTGTCCCCTTGCTTACCCTGGTTGTTTGTGGCCTTGTGGTCTTTTAAAATCATTTGTAAGGGACCAATTTTCTGGGGCTGGCGTAAATGTGGTCTCTTCTAGAGCTTGCTTCTGGCTAGGTTCCTGAGCATGAGTTGAGATCACTTGGCCTGTCCACATGTCGCATAATCAGGATAATGATATGTGCAAGTGATCTAGTGGGTGATCACTTTTCAGGGAAGTGTTTTTGCCCCCTCTGCATATACATGTAAGCACGTGTGTATAGGTGAGAGGTATATACCTGGCCCTTCCTTGAATGTACTGTACTATAAACTGAGCTAAGCAAGGTCTCTCACTTGAAACCAGAACTCACCAATTCAACTAGTGTAGGTAGCTAGTTTGCTCGAAGGGAGTGTGTGTGTGTGTGTGTGTGTGTGTGTGTGTACTTCCTGTCTTCTAAGCAATTACATGTGACTCTATGCTTACCTAGCCTTATGTGGATGCTGGGGGACCTGAACTCTGGCAAATACTTTACTTTCTAAACTATCTCCCCAGTTCCCCACTTCCTTTTCTGGTCTGCCTATTGCCAAAGAGGACTGTTACAGTCTCCAGGAGTTTGAAGGGCAAGGAGCAGATTTAGTTCTAGTGATCCAGACTTTCTCTAAGATAGAAAATACCTGGTTTCTGTACCCTTCCCTCTGTGTTTGGCAAAACCCTCAACACTCTCACCATAACTACAGATTACCCTACCAGTTATGCTTTTCTTAAACATTATAAGGCTCTTTCAGTGTGGTTTGAGAGAGGGTTCTCATCTGCCTTCTGCTGGCCTTGAATTCCTTATGTAGCAGAGGTTGGCCTTTAACTTCTTAGCCTCTTGCTTCCATCTGTCAAGTGTTGAGTATAGGCATGTTGCCATCATGCCCAGTTAAAAATCTGCAAGCTTTAATAATGCAACAGAAGACCTCACTAATTCTCTAAATGAGAAAGGGAAAAAATGAGGAGCAGAAAGAACACAAAAGGAGTTTCTAGAGAGCTCAAAAAGCTTCTGGAGAAAGCTATAAAAAATAACCTCTTCCAGGGTTGGGTATTTACCTCAGCGGTAGAGCACTTGCCTAGCAAGCACAAGGCCTGGGTTCAATCCTCAGCTCTGGGAAAAAAATAAAAAATAAAAATAAAAATAACCTCTTCTAGAAAAGAACAAACAGGCATGCTGTCTAACTTGTTGACGGTTCTCAATGACTACTCCCTCAAGGATTAAAACCCAATGGCAAAACCTGAAAGTGGAGCTGCTTCAACTTTCCCTGTTACCCATTTATTCTAAACCTTTTCAGAATAACTACAGCCAAATGTACACCACTATAAATAACACAATGGCAGGGAGGTATGAATATAGCAAGGAGGGTTCTGTCATGGTAGACATGAGGCTTTCTTGGTTCTTGCACAGCGGGTTCTTATGTCCAGGTATTCTTTCATGACAACATGGAAGACTGCTGTTTAAGAGTTAAAAATGAGAAGCCATTTGGGTCTCTGTGACAAAACCCTAGAGTAGATACTGCAGCACAGACAGGCAAAGCCTGGATAGTGGCTGAGAAACAGTCCTGTGATGCTCAAGCAGGCTCTTGAGTAGAACTCTCAAGTAGAACTCAAGGCATTTGAGGACTCTGGGACATCAACACTTCTACCTGACTATATTCCTTGCTATAGGCTCCCACCACCCCCACAGGCCTCTAAGAACTAAGAAGTATATGACCTTCTAGTTCTCTCTGGAGTCTACTACCACATAGGAATCATTCTCATTCTTCAGTACCAGTCAGAGTCTTAACTCATCTGTGAGAGACGCTGCTTTTTACTGTATCTGACATATCCGCCTAATAGTATTTGAGTTCCATCTCACTAACCTGGAAGCCGGGGGTTTTAGAATAAAGGTTTTAGAATAAAGGCTGCCTGGTTATTCTTCTTGGAGTGCAAGGACACAAGGCTGTTGGTAAGGTTCACAATCATGGCCTTCATGGTCTGGTCTATCAACTTTAGGTCAGACCAAGGCACCAGTGTAAGTACTTCAAGTGGCATATCATTAGGATTCTCTCCCATTTTGGTTAGAACTCTTGTGATCCTCATCTTCAATATGAGGAAAGTTGGGCCAGAGGGTCATGTTCAAAAATATCTTTCATCTGGTAGTTTTCCTAAAGAGGAGAAGGCTGCAGTGCTCTGTGTTTCTCAGGTTGCCTGCTAAGCGCTGCAGATGCTCACTGTGGTGTCAAGTAAATCATTTCTGATTGCAGAGCCAGGGAGAAGATGTTGTTCAGCATAGCAATATTTTGCATTAGAGAATTTGACAAAAGTCTTAAACAAAAGCAACTGGCTCTAGTGTTCTGTAAGCCATTTTAGATTGGGCACTTTCCAATAATTTTATTTGACAGCTCTTTGACAATCTTTTCAGGTTACTAAAACACTTTTAAATCTAGAATTTGTTACTTGTAAGAGAGCAGTGAATTCAAGTAACTTATCTTCATCAGGTAATGAACTATGCAAATTCTTTACTATCTATAAATGAGCTAGCTGTACTGCATAGTGAGCAAATCTAAGTCCCTGAAATTATCTATTTCCTTAGGAGCAAACAAGCTTTTGGATATGTGTGTGTGTGTGTGTGTGTGTGTGTGTGTGTGTGTGTGTGTGTGACACACAGACACACTTTTAAAGATGGGGTCTCTCTATGTATCTCTGGCTGTCCTGGACCAGGCTGCTCTTGAACT